GGAGCTCAAAGCAAGCTGCAGGTTTCCTTCTGAAGCCTACAAGAGGGAGGGAGGAAAAAACAGCACCAGATAATACAAGGAAATCAATCTACTGGTTGGTGCCAAGGCTCAGACCACTACACCAGGAAACACAGCACCAGGTATTACCTAATGCAACTGAAGTCATTCTAAACAGAAAATTATTTTGGGCACAAAACAACAGAATAGAAGCTGCTTTCAACTCCTCACTCAAAACTTCACTGCATCAAAAATGCAGGAGGAGAGGGCTCCACTGCATGTGGCATCACAGAGGAGAATTACAGTAATTTAGCTGAGAAACAAGCAAAGCTCCTTCCTCAAATCCACCCTCCCATGATAAACTCTCTCAGCCCAACTACCAGAGAAACTCCTTTAAAACTTCCTCAATAGCACATTCCCCCTCGTGCCCCACCAAGGAAGTTTCCAAAGCAAATGTCTTGTCTAGCACACAGGCCAGAGCTCCAGCTCCCCAGGACAACGTGTTTGGAAGCATCTGTTCCCATCCTGCTGTAGCACACAGGACTAAGAAGTGAATTTTGGCCACTGGGTCAGATCCAGAAGTTATTCAGCTCAAGTCACAAGAGCTCCACACTCTCTCAGTTTCAGTCACACCTTAGCCAGGTTTCCACTACAGTACCTGCTCACTTCTCACAGGAATATCAGCAGGAACCCCTCAGTCACAGACTATTAAATATTTAAGGAGGCATCACACCAAAGATGAAGAAAAAAAATCAGTTTATCCTCCAGTTTGAAGTGGCCACACCCCCACTGAACTGGCCTGAGCTCTTGATCTTCAAGTTAAAGAAGCTTTTTAATTACCACAGCCTATCAGCAAACAAAATTTGGGCTAAAGCCCAACTAGATAGAGCAGGAATCCTGGGAAAAGCTTGTGTCGGTCAGAGATATTAATTACTGCTTCAGGGATGAAGCCTCTGTGGCAAAGAAATTCAAATTTGAAATCCCATGTTTTTAAGTGAGATTTTTTTTGCCCTTATTCCTGGAAATGGCAAAGGCTTAGGCAGAACTGAAGCATTTACAAGCACTGGGCCTTTCTCCTTGCATTAAGAAGAGACACAAAGATTTATTTGGTTGAGGCTTTTTTAAATTCTTCAGGACTCCTAGCATGAATCAGTGAGAAAACAGGAAATTTTGTAATGCACTTTAAAAATCAGTTTATGAATCACTTTATAAAGTGATTGTCTGAAATATGATAAAAACAGAAGATCAACATCTCTTTTGAGTATCTTCTACTTCTGTAATCATCTCCATCACCTGGGAAAAGTTATTAAAGCACATTGGATTAAAGTAGGGTAAAACAACAGGGCTGAGCGTGGACAGGCCTCTGAGCAACCTGCTCTAGTGAAGGTGTCCCCTTTAAAGGTCCTTCCAACCCAAAATATCCTGGGATTCCATAGCCCTAAACTGTGAACCTTTCAGAACCTCACATGTCTCCAGCAAAATTGCTCCTTTGAGCAGGCACTGAAAATAGTTTTATTTTACATTGAGGTGGGTCTATCACAGTGTGCACCAGCTCAAAGGGGACAAATCACAGCAAAACACTTCTCTAACAAGTTTATTTTGCAGGGTAAGGAGCTCCTTGGATTTGACCAAACATCCCCACAAAGGGCAGGCAAAGAAAGACAAACACGGGCACTGGCACTGCCCATTGAGTCTGCACAAGTATTCCCAGTGTAAATTTGAATTTTAAGGCTTTGGAGTGACCTAACTGGGGCCTTGCAATGCCTGAAGGGAGCTGGCAGGAAGGATGGTGACACACTATGGATAAGGGATGGAGGGACAGGACACAGGGAATGGCTCCCACTGCCAGAGGGCAGGGATGGATGGAATATTGGGATGGAATTGCTCCCTGTGAGGGTGGGCAGGCCCTGGCACAGGGTGCCCAGAGCAGCTGTGGCTGCCCCTGGATCCCTGGAAGTGCCCAAGGCCAGGTTGGATGGAGCAGCCTGGGACAGTGGAAGGTGTCCCTGCCATGGCAGGGGTGGAGTGGGATGGGCTTCAAGGTCCCTTCCAACCCAAACCATTCCATGATTCTGTGATGCACCAACAGCAAACAGGAGCAGTACAGAGCACTGGGGAGTGCTGGGTGATGATGTGCATCCCCGGCTCCACAGCCATCCTTCATCCTGGGAAGTCAAGGGATGGATGGAAAGCAAAGCTGACAGCTGTGCAAGTAGAAACTGAGAAGAGCAGCATTGTCGTTTTCCCGAAGAAAGTCATTTCTCAACTCAACTCCAGTAATAAGGACTAAAAATAGTCACCCAAAAGAGCTGAGCTGCACTTTTCATTCTCTTTCCCTCCCAGATGTCAACTAGTCCCCTATCAGCATATATATTTACCATATGAGGAAATCCTGTTTGAACAACTTCATCTTATGAGTGTTTTTCCCTCCCTAATAAACCACAAGATTAAGCATCACTGCAGTGGCAGTATTTCCTACCCCAGTGATATCCTCTGACTTGATTATTTTGGGAATTTGCTGTTTAAAATAACATTTAGCTAAGCTCACACACTTGGCCTGCCTAATAAAACACAGACTCTACAAAACAGCTGAAGTTGGTGTTTCTCAGAAGGCATGGGGTACTGAAATTGTCCCCACAGCACATGGTGGAGGTCCAAAAGGGACATGACCAGGTTAGAGATGGGCTCTGATTCCAGCCAAACAACTCCTATCCTGAAAATCTTAGTGACTCTGAGCAGCACACGAGGTTTGTGTTGGTGTCACTGTCACATCACACACCCCAGGCTGTGCTTCACTGCTCCTTATCTGCCTCACAAATCCTAGATGGAAGATGCACAGCCAGCACTGCACTAGACAGTCTGAATTTATGGATGATTAAATCACAAAATTTTGCTAAAATTGTCCTCATTTTCCTCAAAAGTTGCATAGCAGAAGAAATCCTTGCTAACATGATCAGGCCAGTTTACATAACCTGGAAAGAGAGGGTTTTATTTCTACAAAGAGCAACTGGATTCCATCCATTCATAACCCACAATTCCAGAAATCTCAGCAGATCCACTCTCCCAAGTCCTGCTTTGCCCTCAACAGTGCCTTCCATTTATTTTTAGCACAGAAGACACTATCCATCCAGGCAGTTTTCAAGCTTCATGTGTTGCCCTGCCCTGCTTCCCTGAGCACCTGACTGAAATGTGGGCACAGCTCCGAGTTCTCCAAGGAGACAAAGGTTCCCCTCTCTGCTTACACAGACATTGGTAACCCTGTGGTACCAGGAAGGTGTTTGACCCAACATCCTGCACCACACCAACTGTTCTCTTCAATGAAAGGGCCGTTCCATCCTTTCAGTGCTCCACTTCTGTATTCTGCTCTCAGACCAATAAAAGTAAAGATCCTGGAAGAACCCTAACCCATGGGTTTGCCCATGAGTTGAAACTGGAGGCTGCAGGTTCATCCCTGAAGTCCACTCAACATTGGAAACCACCACATAGCGTTGGAAGTTCTAATCAAATTTCTCCTATGCCCAGTGGTTTCCATGACTAAACATGAAAAACTCAGAAGCAGCAAAACCTTGAAACACTCAGGAAATTTCCAAAGGAATTGTCCTCCACCTCCGACTGACACAGATACATTTAAACCCTGACTAGATTTATTTTTATATCCCGTCCAAAGAAGTTGGTACCACCGTTGTTATATCACATGAAGCCTCCTTGTATTCTTTGAACTCTTTTCCTGTGAGGATTTTTGCAGTGGCAGAAGTTAGGACAGTCTGTTGGAATCCCAATTTGAGATTGCACACACACAGATTGCAGTGTGTTAAAATAAGGAACACAGCTGCAATGAGATGCTCTGTCCTGCCAGGACTCAGGTACAGCACCTGCTCTTGTCTGAACCTACAAGGAACAGAACTTGGATCATAACTGTTCTTCACCTTTCACCTGACATTAAAGATCTTTATCCTGAATGATACAGGTGGCTCCAGAGAAAAACATAAGGCATTGCCTCTGAAATTCCTATGAATGAAGGCAAGAAGTACAGGATTACACTTGCATTGGTTAAACCGCCTTAACATTGCTGTAGAGCCGGGCTGTTCTTTTACGAACTAAACACATTCAAACATCGTTGAATTGTCATGCTGGAAAATCTGAATCACGAATCCCCAAGAGCATGGGGTGATGTGATTCCCGACAAGTGACTCCATGCATGAGGAGGCTCGGGAAAAGCCGCTGTCCAGGAAGGCAGGGAGCAGAGCAGGGCCTGGGCCAGCTCCCCTTTTCTGATGGAATCTGCTCCCTTTACACAGCACCAAACGAAATCGAAAGGATTGGTGCCCCGGGCTAATCCATTCTGGAAACACAGCGAGATGGAGATTATTCCACACGGCTGAGGAAACTGGAGGTTCTCCGTGGGAAAGAAAAGTTCTCAGCCCTGTGGAGGAGCAGCACCCACGGCTGTAGCACCCCCTGATCGGGCGGCGCTTGACTTCCCTGTATTTCGCGGATTCCATGAGATCACAGCACACTTAACACCAATCCCAGCTTCCAGACGGTGGGAGACAACTTGGATTTACGCAAAGGAGCGATGGGATGGGCCCAGCGCTGCCAGACGCCGCAGCACCCGCGCCGCTCGCAATACCCCAGGCGATACCGCTGTCCGCCAGAGCGGAACCATTCCCTGTGGAATTCTACAGCATTCCCTCTGGAAACACCGCCCGGCACCGGGACCAGAGACCGGGCAGTGATCGGGCAGCGGAGCCCCGGGCGAGCCCCCCGCCCCCAGGCCCTGCGGAGCCTCAGCCCCCCCGCCAGCGCCCTCAGGCCGGGCCATCCCTCCCTGCGTCCCGGCAACACCGCCCTCCCTCTGTCCCTCCGTCCGTCCCTCCGTCCATCCCCGCCGCCGGGAAGAGGCCGGGCGAGGCCCCCCGGTGCGAGAGGGCGGTGTGGGCGCGGGGGGGTTGCGCGGAAGGGCGGAGGCCGCGGCTGAGGGCGCGGGGCCGGGCCGTTCTCACCATGTCGGCTGGGCGGGTGCGCGGGGCGGTAGAACGGCGGCGCCTCCCGGTCCGTCCCTGTCGCTTCGACGCCGCGGCCCGTCCGCTTCCGCCGCCGCCCGGCAGTGAACATCCGGGTCAGCGCCGCCGGCCCCGCCCCCGCGCCGCTCCCCGCCAATCAGCGCGCGGCTCGCCGGCCATCGCCAAGTATGGATGCGCGGCGGCGGGGCGGGTGGGCGGGGCGGAGCGAACCACGCCACCGGCGCGGGGGGGACGGAGCAGACGGCGGCACCAACTGCAGCGCGGGGGTGAGCGCGGCGGCCAATCAGAGCTCGAGGGCGGGCCCGGGGGCGGGGCCTGCGGAGGGCGCGCCAGCATCTTGGCTCCGGCCCTTAGTCGGTCCCGGAGCGTCCGAGCGGTAACGTCGTTCCTTTTAAATACATTTGTCTAAGGTTAAACGAAAGACAGTACTAGGTAGGCGGGTAGCACGGTAAACGCCACCCAGGAGAGGTAACGAGTAGCAAACTCGTCACCCTAAAGCTGAGTTTTACACAGGTAAACTGCATTTTATACATGCCTGTAACACATCTCCCAGGTCTAAAGTGATGTGAATAAATAGGCAGCCTCCAGCTGCTTAAGGTCAGAGATAATTATTAATTATTTTCAAAAGGAAGTATTCGGTGTTGTCTGGGAGGTACCCGCTGGAAGACACTGACACAGTTGGATGCCTCCAGGGCTCAGGCAGTTGGGACAGGGATAACAGGATCACAGATTTGTTAGGGTTGGAAGGGACCTCAGCAGACATCTAATCCAATCCCACACACTCTGCCACACAGGCAGAGTCCCTTGGAGGTGACTTGGAGTAGGATCTCCAAAATCAGGGTATATGTATTAATAAAACATTTATCTTTGCTCAGGCTGTCCCAAAAAAACCATTTTTTCCTTCTACTGGACTAGCTCACATACAATGATTTCAGGTAAGACATTCAAATTCCAGACTCCTGACTTGTCCTTCATGGGGGAATCTCAGAGCTACAAAAGACAATTATCCCAGGAAGACAAGGATTCATAAGCAACAACGCCTTCCTCTGCAGCTTCTTTTGGAACAGGTCAGGCCTTGTTTCAGCCCAGATTTGTTGCCAGGACCCCAAAAAAATCTTTGGGACTCTGTGCTGCAGACTTGGCCCTGGGGAGCCAAAAGCCCTTCCCTCCGTTTGCTGTAGGAGCTGGAAATGCCAACATGGGAATCACACAGGGCTTTTCCTTTGGATGTCACAGACACGGGGCAGTCACACAGGGCTTTTCCTTTGGATGTCACAGACACGGGGCAGTCACACAGGGCTTTTCCTTTGGATGTCACAGACACAGAAGTCACACAGGGCTTTTCCCTGGGATTTAACACTGTGGCACGTCCCCCCGGGGGAAGATGTCCCAGGCCAAGCTGTGCCGTTGCACTCACACATTATCGCAGGTTTTTGTGACTGGACACTGAACGTTCTCAGCTATCAGATACCAAACAGCACCTGGCAGGAGGTAACAGCTCTGACTGCTCCTTAACGGGACAAACCAGCCAGGCTTTCAGTCTGCAAAGGACAACTCCGATTTGCAGGGAAGTGCACAGCTAGGACACGGATCGGGTTACAATAGCCAGAGACAGGACTGCACCGCATGAATTTGCACCACAATGGAGCCCATGCAGACGGAACAGCTCTCAGTGGTGTTTTCAGCGCAGGAACAAAATGAACCTGGGAAGGGAGGAGAGAAAACAGTAGAACGATCTCAGGAAAAACAGGAGCTGTATTACTTTACAGAAACACAAAACCACAAAAAACTCCATCAATAACCAGTACCAAACAAACCCAAATGTGGGAAATTATCCTTCCACATCTGGGAGAGCAGCCACATGACCTCAGAAGGCTCAAGAGACCCCAAATTCAGTTCTTTGCCACTACTCCTCAGCCTAACCTCCTTCAACCCGCTTTGTAAGATGCAGCAATCCCAAATGGCTCCTATTTTGCAGTCCCCAGATCCTCCTCCAGTCCTTGCACTCCCTCAGAGCTGCCTCCCAGCAGTAATTAAGAAAAGCAAACCTGTTCATTACACAGGCCACATTTTTCATTTATTTTCCAGGGATCCACACATCTAATATACGTGTACTCCTCAGGGCTGGGAGGCTGGAATTGATAAATTTGAAAATGCCTCTAAAATTCCCTCTTTCTGTCACAAAATTCATGCAAAGAATTCAACGGCAACTCTACTTGTAGTAGCTTTTCGTTTTGAACAGAACCAGCTCCTAGCTGCTTGCTGGAGCAGCACAGCAATAGCAGAATTAGGCAGCACAGTATACTTCAAACACTTTGAGCTCTAAATGAATGTCGAGGCCAAGAGGATGTTTTTCTTACTGGAAGAAATATAAGCATCCTGGATTTTGTTTTCCTCCTAATAGGTATAAAGAAGAATAAACAGCTGCTCTATGTTTCCCTAGAAATATTTGCATTAAGAAGATCTGCAGATTCATTTTGAAATTGATGTCACATCTTTTTTTTTCAAATGAGGACCAGCTGTTTGCTTTGCTTGTTTATAGCAGGCCATGTTTCAGGGATTTTTGGTTGGTTGTGTATTAAGATGTAGGACCAGACTGTTGCAGGCAGGCTGCAGTTTGGGGTGGGGAGTGGATCCCAGCAGGCAAAAGGTCCATGAATGTCAGCACCATCCCACCTTCCACCTTCTGCTGGGATTTGTGGAGGGGTTCACACCAAATGCAGCAAATTCAGGGATGTTCCATGAATCCAAGTGCTGTGAGGGAGTGTTACCTGTGCCTCAGGCATTTCCCAAACCTGCTGGCATGGATCACCCACCTACAGCAAAGAGCACTCCAAAGGGTTCCTGCAGGCATTACCCCTCCCTAAAACCAGGGTCTATAAACAAAGGAAGCAAACAATGATGTCAGTTGACATCTTAACGGCCCAACAACATCAGATTCATGTGCAATTAATAACAAGGCTTTTGATCCTGCAATCAGCAGCTCTAAAATCCATGTGCTTTCCCTGTACATTTGATTACATTTGAGGAAGCAAAAGGATAAACACTTATTAGCATTACAAAGTACTTTTCACGTTCAGCCAGAACTTCCTGAAGCATTTCTGGTCCTGCTCGATGTGGTTTTTATTTTATCCTCCTGCATGTGTGGTGAAATGCTATTTATTTTGTTTATTCCAGCATTTATCCAGGACCAAGGGTGACTGGGACAACATGCTGAGGAGCAAGGTCTGAGAGAAAACCTTCATGCTTCACTGAATAGTCTTTTTTTTTAAATAAAGAAACATCTTGAGCTTTTTTTTTTTTCTTCTTTTTTTTTTTTTTTGGTCAGATTGCCCATTTTATTTCATGGCACTTGAAAGATATGTAAACTTTTTATTAGGACTTCTCATAAATTGAATTTATTGCTGCAAGAGTCTTCCAGCAATGGTAAAGTTTAGCTTGCTGGGTTTTATTAGTCAGAGTCAGTAAAACAGCAGCATCACTTGGTTTGAGGCTGAAAACCGAGTGTTTCTTGGAAACTAATATAGGAAAAAGGTACCTACAACACTACCCAATGTCTTGGAATTCTATGTTCAAGCCACAGATAGTTCTCACTATGGAGATATTTGTACACAGTGTCAAAATAGCACACAAACAATTAAAAAGTCCCCCATCCAAAGCAGCTTTGCTGAGTGTACTCTTGGAATTGAAAAGTTTTTCGAGTTTCCCCATTTCCTGCAGGAACTGATGAGTAACTCCAAATACCACATTTAATGAAAAACAACATAGCCCCATTTAGTGAGAGGTTTGAGGCATTCCCCTCCCTGCACTAAGGGTGTTGAACCAGAATTTTTTCCACTCCATCAGCACCCAAGCAGATCTGCTCCTTTGGTTAATGGAAAGGATAAACCCAGCAGCAGCCCAAGATGTCCATGCACTGCAGGAATCCCTTTAGCTATATCCTAGGACACTTTATTCCTCTTCTTGCAGCTGCTCCTTTAACTTTGTATTTTCAGCTCAGAAAACTTGAGAGACAGGAGCTGTCTTTAGCCTGAGCAAAGAAAATATTGAGAACATTCTTGTCAAACTTGGTCATTAACTAGCAATAATGTCTGTGGCTTGTCATTAAAAAAGAATCAAGGAGAAGCTGATTAAATACAGCAGAAAGAAACAAAACTTTCCATTCCCTTACTTTTTCCTTGACACGTTGCACTTCATTTGAAGCCTGCTAATATACCAGCCAAAAGAATTGTAAGGGTCTGCCTGGATTCTTTCTTAATACAATGGTCACGGTTCAGTAGTTAGAATCTGTATAGAATTAGCCAGAGACATGGACGAATGGAAAAACAGACTAAAAGGCTGAAAAATAGCACTTCTTCATGGGCTTATTCATTAGACAACCTCATCAATACAGCACAAGGAGGTTTTCTCTTTCTACTATTCTAAAAAATGATCACAAAATAGTACAGAGAAAATAGAGACATGAAATGTCAGAGCACTGCTTTTGCCTGGGATTTCAGAGTTGGCAAAAACTCAGGTCAGTGTTTCCATGCAAGTGCTTTCCTGCCGAGATTTTTGGGGCAAACTTGATGTTCAAGGCAAAAGCAGCTTAGAGCAGAATTAGCACAATGAGCTGTGACACATCTTGTCCCATTTTTCCAAGTTCTGCTTCAACCAGCCATACCTGACAGCTGGAACCAGCAGCACCACACACTGAATCCAAGCAAAGCAGCGTGGAAATCCATCAGCACAGGCACAGAACGTGCTAATTGACGTGGAGGTGATCCCCGTGGAAAGGCTGCAGGATGTTTCACTGCAGCACAAACCATCCCTCCTAATGCAAGTCAGCTCAGCCTCAGAGGATTGCTCACCCCACAGCATCTGACTGCACAGAGCACAGACTCCACATCAAATCAATAAGGACAGCACAGGAGGCTTAATGCAGTCACTGGCACCTTTCCCATTTCAGGGCAAAGTCCTGCTGAGGAGGGGTTTCTTTCTCCTCAGACTTTTGTTGGGTTTTTTTGTTGTTGTTGTTGCTTGGATAGCTAAAAGGTTTTCAAAGAGACAAGCATCAATGTCTGTTG